TTGGTTCGTTTGTTTGTTCGCTTGCGTTTAGGTTGGTTCGTTTGTTCGCTTGCGTTTAGGTTGGTTCGTTTGTTCGCTTGCGTTTAGGTTGGTTCGTTCGTTCGCTTGCGTTTAGGTTGGTTCGTTCGTTCGCTTGCGTTTAGGTTGGTTCGTTCGTTCGCTTGCGTTTAGGTTGGTTCGTTCGTTCGTTCGTTCGTTCGTTTGCGTTTGCGTTTGCGTTAGGTTTGCGTGTAGGTCTGTCTGTCTGTCTGTCTGTCTGTCTGTCTGTCTGTCTGTCTGTCTGTCTGTCTGTCTGTCTGTCTGTCTGTCTGTCTGTCTGCCTGTTTGTTTGTTTGTTTGTTTGTTTGTTTGTTTGTTCGTTTGTTTCATTTTTACTGGGCATGAGAAACTGGATGCATGACGCGTCCATAATATACACGAATCGCGAAATTCGGAAGTGACTGGATGTAGCTGTGACTGGATGACTTTAAGTATTCCAATGTTTACTCGTGCATTCATGATTATACTTATTACTACAATACAACATCAACGCATGACTGAACATAGCCCCCGTGCAGGCCGCCCACCGAGGGAAGACTAGTGGGCCTGCAAGAAAGACCCGGTATTTTGTACTTTCCGCGTTCGCCCACGAACGTAGCATTCTGATTGGGTGTTTCTGTTGGATTGTATAATTAGATCAATGATTCATCACAAAAGCTCTCGATAAGATTAAAATTGGATCTGATCACTTTTTTCGATTAAAAATGGAACAAGAAAGACTGTTTATTGTTTACTTGCATGAAGCGGAGATGTTTTTGCCGTTATGCCAACGGAGATTGCTTGTCGTGAAGTATTGGAATAGCAACATTACCACTGGGGTAAACTGTAGTAACCTTTACTTGAGTTTCGTTAATTTCAAACAGCCTTGATACGTTATATGTTTCTCAAGAAAATTATCTTTTGGTAGATGTTGACTCTGTTCTTGCACTGAAGAAAACAGCGCTATTCGCGGTGAAGATTTAGAGGAAGTTGCATGTAAGCCTATTCGAAACATTTGCGATTTGCAAGGCTTCGCTAAGAGAGCGAAACAGAAGACGCTAATTGTCGTTTGAAACGAAACGATCTGGACTCTGAATTACGCTCTCTTCTTTTGAGTTCTTTACCAAGTGACATAACTGAAATAATAGCATAGTTGCTCGGGTTTCTTTTGTTTCAACAGGGTCGATTAACGTTCGCTTTGCCCGCGCGGGCGAAGCGTTCATTAGAGAGGTTAAGATACCCCGGTTTCGGTGTACGGGTACGAGTAGTGTCATCTTGTTTTACTGATGTCTGTAATTCGATCATACTTTTTCTGTTTTCTTGCAATAGACAATGATATAATGCGAAAAATGTGCACCTTAATTACGAGTAAAAGTACAGACATCGACGGAAATATTGCTAACCAAGATCATGCTACCCGTACACGTACACCGAAACCGGGGTATCTTAACCTCTCTATTGTTTTTGACACTCGTCCGCCCGCGTGAGCAGATTTGCAAAACCCGCTCCGCCCGCGCGGGCAAAGCGACAGCAATGGAAAATTGCCTTTAGGCAAGTGCCTCACGCACATAAGGCCCGGTTTAGACGCCGTGCTTTTCATGAGCCGAACTTAATGCAAATTAGCTTAAACAAAGAACTTAGTTAATTAACATTAAGTTCGGCTCATGATAAGCACGGCGTCTAAACCGGGCCTAACAGAGACCATACGATTTTAGGACGGCAACCACGACAGCGACGGCCAAAACAAACTCTTTCAAATAAATGGCAGTCGATAGTTCGTCGTATATTATCAATCGTGTGAATTTAATACAGATTTAGAAGTTGAAGACATGGATTTTATGTTTGCGAAGAGTTCTGCTAAATCCAGTTTCAACTTGCACTTGTTGTGGCTTGGAATGCAGCCGTTGTATCAACACGTGAAAATCTGTGATTTGGCGTTGTAAACAGAGCGAGGACAATGTCTAAATTATTCATTTATTGTAATTACTCAATTCTTTTCAATAATATCATGTTTGCGTGAATTTCTATTGTTCTATTGTGCCGTATTAGTAACTAATTCACTCGCCTACTCAAATGTACAGGTCGTATTAGAACTAATACGACCTCAGTTGACGTCACTACGGGTCGTATTAGTATTACCACATCACCTGGAAAGTTTGAGCAAAATTATCACAAAATTATGCACTGAAAAACACACAAACATTTAATTGTTATCATTACTTGCTAATATAGACATTTACCGTCCCAATATTAGCATTGCAGAACAAACCATTTAAAGTATTATTATAGGATGGTTCACTTCTAGAATTACTTTCATACACGTCTAACGCCTGACTTAATACAACGTCACATAAATCTGATTCGTCATTAAATTGTTCAACCCAATCCAAATTACTTTCATGCACAACTTTTGATTCTACAGATGTTTCATTTATTACACACGTATCTGCAGAACTACACGAGCTCAACGCCTCTGATACCCGTTTCGTATCATCTATATCTAAAGTCTGGTACTTCCGTAGACTTTCCAAACTGCGATGACCAGTTCTTTTCAACGCCATTTTGTCAGGAATACCTGCTTTCAAAAGTGTTGTGGCAGCTGTAGCCCTTCCTGAATGATTTGAGTAATGCCCCTCGAGACCAGCCAAACTGCAAATTCTTTTATAAGTCGATGCAAGCGTATTGCGCCCAACTGGTCATGTAGAAATTGAATACAAAAGTACATGACTTTGGATCATTGCCATCTTCAATATGTTTGACTTCTTTAGGGGTAATTTTCCTTCTCTTCAGCCCGCCTTCGTTAACCTTGGAACTTTTCTCCCGATAGGTAAGAATAGTTTTTCCATCCTCCATAGTCTCAAATTCAAAGCTCTCCCGTGTTAGGCTTCGACGCTCTTGCCCTCCCCGTAAAGCAAAAATCTTGCCGGCCAGAAACACCAATGTATCGAGCAAAACACCAGGCGAATGAGTCCCTAAAGCGCCCGTAATCCAAAGTTTTTCTTCCTCGTTCACACTAACCGCATCTGCTTTCTTACGAAAGGGATTTTGTCTTGACTGTAGAGCCTTCAAACGCCCATCCAGAGCGTCTTGAAATGGTTTTAGTTCTGGCGATTTAAACAGCACGAGGTTACGGTGTGATTCCCGAATGACACGGTTTAGCGCACAGAATAGGGAGTAAAGCACTTCGTGTCGATATTCCCCGCCGTTTTTTTGTCTCACATCAACACAAAATTTCGACAACCAATAATTTATTTCGTCCACGCTTAACAAAGAAGGATCCTCTGGAGCTATAGGAAATTTCGGATTATCCGGCTGAAAATCTTTGGATGCTTCGTTTCGACTTTTCGCCCAGTCTTTATAGACATTTACGCCCCAAGATGTGTGCTTTCTGGTATTTTTTGGTATTGCATCTTTCCGACAAGCCACAACATTCTCTTCAGTACAGAACGTCTTATAACGCTCCGACGACATCATTGACAGTGTCTGAACACTGATTTGGGTGAAATTCACTCGGGTCGCCCTCGTCGAGCGGGTGGTTTAATGACTAATACTCCTCATTTCATGATATTACTTATAATAATCTATCGTATTGGTAGCCGCTGCCGTCGCGTTGGCGTCCTAAAATCGTAAGGTCTCTTAATCGTGCAAGGAACAGCAACAGTTAGCTCAGACACAGAATAAAGACATACAGAAGTGTATCTTCTTATTAAAAGTGCGTAAGGGATTTTTTCAGTCCGCCATGTTCTTAGCAAGTGCCCTAAAGAGAGGCAGTCACCCCCCTGAAAACATATTGAAAATTTAATATTCCAGGGGGGTGAATGCCTCTCTTTAGGGCACTTGCTAAAAAAGCGCCTTACGGTTTTGTAATGGAAGTTACACTTCTGTATGTCTTTATTCTGTGGCTCAGAGCCGTCAATAGTCTATCATCCGATCCCTGAATTGTTGCATGATTTAAATCACGCACGTGCAGCCTCCGATTTTATACTAATTAATTTAGCGTTTTTGTTGTGGTACGTTAAATGATAGATTGCGCATGCGTAACCGATTAAAGCGTAAAAAGTGCGCATGTGCAACAAGCTTTCACATCCCACAAGCAAAGAAGCAAATGTTTTATTACAATGGCGAGAGAAGCACACATTAATGCTAATGTGGTCGCACGACTTCCCTCATGATTTGAAGTTTGAGACAGGTTTTCTGTTGAAATTCGTCCTAATTTGCCTGTTTGGATTTTAGATGAAAATGAGCACTTGCAAATTTGGCAATTATTGACTGCGTTGCTTGCTTTTTTGGAGTTAAAACGCAGCCATTTACACATTGTTTCTATTCTGAATAAGCGGAGAAAACCCCGCAACATTTTAATGCGAGTTTGTTGTTACTATTTGTGTTGCTGTCATTGGTTCTTTTTTGACAATTGACGCGCGAGTGGGGCGTGTTATGAAAAGGCGCGTTTTGGAAAATACCGGGTCTTGCCTGCGGGCCCACTATTTTTCCCTCGGTCTGCACGCGGGTTAGAATGAACATTTCAATACTTTAATACGCATATTTTAAATCATTCAGTCACAGCTACATGTTTTTCTTTCACTAGTCCGGGCTTTGACCGACTGAGAACGCGTCATTTGGATGCGCAATCGAATTTCGCGATTCGTATATACAGCATGCTGAATCTACGTTCTAGTTGATTATTAATTACGGATTCTTAAAGCTTGAAACAAAGCGCTCAAAATGTTTTACATTCGAAATGTTTTACGTCCTGCCATACGTTATTAATAATTAATATTGGTTTAAATAATCATTAATATTGTGCGTGAAGTACTATATCAGCAGGAAAGATATACTATGATCATGTAACTATTACTATTTTATTGAAGGATCTCGAACGAATAAATTCATCATACCTTCCTTAATCTTCTCAAAATATAACGCTGCAGTTCGTGGAACTAGTTTTGCGTCATTCGCAGTTAAGGCAGCTTTAGAATTCAGTTCGCAGTTTTCTACCAATGTTGGGTCTACAATGAAATTAAATGATTTGCATTTGGGTTCATCGTGTAACGCACAATGGTGTGCACAAGTTATATTGCTTTCTGCACTGATAACTCCAATGACACTTTCTTGAAGTTGAAAACCTAGAAAAAAAATACAAACTTTACTCACATATGATATGCTTACGTGTCATTATAGCGACCATCTACTTTAACCGATGGAATGAAATAGCTTGCATGGTCAATTTATTATTTTTATAGCGTGGCCGCAGGCAAGATTGAAGAACATTCTTATGCGTGATGGCTTACAGTGGCGAAGCTACATGACCGAATATTTTGCCCAAAATTTGAAGATATGCATTATGTTTCTTCTCTTCTTCCAAAATATGAAAATATGCCTTATAGTTGCGCAGAGTTTACGACACATCGCTTCCATTTAGTTAAATTTGGTGAATAGTCCAAAATCGTCGATATCTTGAGCGTTCTAATGACAAAAACGGAAAAACGACAGTCGCAGCCTAAATATTACGCTAAATTGTTGCATCACTGGCCTGTTACCATGGATTTGTGCTCTTTGGTTACATGTCAGTTGTATTTCTTGGTCCGGCTTAGTCGGCTTCTTGTGGGAAGCATGACTAGCTATATCATTTTATACAAGGAACATTGGATTGTGATTGGACAATTGTCGCTCACACATCTTAATTTGAAATGCCATATTATAATGATTTTTTAGCTTTTAGTATTATACAGAACGAAATAAACAGGTCGAAAGTGCAAAATAGCCACATTTTGCGTATCGACATTTATCATAGCGATCTCTATATTTCTGGCACGCAAATTTACTTTCGCATAGAGAGTACATACTCGTGTGCACAGTGGCTGGAAATTCCGAAAAAAAACCATTCGATTCTACATGACAATCTGTATAAATCACCCGTTTAGCATACACCTCAACGGGAATTACCCATATGTTCTCAATTGAGAATATTCGGTATTACCCGTGCCAGACTATCGCCTGCGCTACCTGACGCTGACGCTTTCGCATATCATTATATATAAACCAATCACAATCGTCTTTCTATCACACGTTCTTCTTGAGCTTTGAGCTGCCATATTTGAAAACATTTCTAGCAGATTTTCTAGTCTATTTGCGATTCTGTGCAATGAAATGGAGATAGGAAAGAGAACTAGAATAAGCGACAACCAGAGAGATATTTTGGAAAGGTTTTACGGCCGTGGAATGGTCGGTGTTGGTCTAAATTATCGCGAAATGATCGAAAGCGCTGTAGCAGAAACTGGCTTAACAACGACCCAAGTTATAAAGGTAAATATAGATATCATAGTGATGTTAATGTTGACTATTTACTATTAAAGACACTAGATGACATACAAAAATATACTAATATAAACTAGTATCAGGCCTTGCTTGGATGAAAACCAAGATACTTGATCAATAGTGCAGCTACTGTGCATTCAAGGCACTATTTTCTATGCACCTACTTAAGCGAGACTCTACTTCGTATATTGTTATTACATGTCTAGTTGACAGTCTGAACTTACTGTAACATGCATGTTTCCCCATTGATGAGTGAAATTGTCTGGCGTTAGACAAGTAAGGGGCACTGGGCACATTACGTCTCAATGGGTTTAATGCACCTATAGGGGCACTGGGGCACATTACGTCTCAATGGGTTTAATGCACCTATCAATGTTAAGCCCCAGAGGGGGGGGGGGCATAGGTGGGGCATTTGATTTTTTTAGCAAATTTCCAATCAAATGCCCCACCGTTCGGCAATAAATATTGGTCAAATGCCCCCACCATCTTGCAATAAATTGCAATAAATACTATGTTAATAACAATCATTCGGTTCAAATTGCCCCAACTCGGGGCCAAAATGCTAATCAAAATCCCCAGGGTGGGGATGGAATTGATAATCAAATACCCCACATATGCCCGAACCCC